TGGTGTGATTTGATGTTGCCACATTTGTGTGGCTGTAACTGCAGTCATCACAATGATAAAAAAATGTTATGCTTACTACCGGTTACCTTCATGCTGACAAACATATGGGTCCCATATGGGTTTGTCCGCAGTTTCCACAATGGCCCCACATGGGTTTGCCCATGTAGGGCCACAGCCTACATGGGCCCTACATGGGCAAACCAATGTGGGCCCACCACCATGTAGGGCCCATGTAGGGCCCATGTGGGCTGTGGCCCTACATGGGCCAACCCATGTGGGGCCACCGTGGAACCCGCGGACAAACCCATATGGGACCCATATATCAGCCCTCCTTGGCCCCTATGGGCCCCACCTGGGCATGCTGGCAGGGTGGTAGTTTGCTATGATAAACACTGTCAATATAGTTGAAGTCAGTTCATGGATAAGGGATGTACGCTTTCTGACAAATTGCGACCGCCGATTGGTCAGTTGCTGACAAATACCCTGGAATGATTGGGGGAGAAATGCTCCTGGTCTGCATGGGGACGGAACCGGCATCATGTCAATTGTTTCCTGGAAGTGATAATACACATAGACAAAGTTTAAATCCTCTTGTGGGATGTTTTTTTTTTTGTTGTTGTTTATTTGTTTTGTTGTTGTTGTTTTTTTGTTTGTTCGTAGTAGTTTGGGTATATAATAATTTATTTTTACTTTGTGTCTTGTGATGAAAATGCTGCAACAACACCATATAAGTAATGTTAAAACAGATGAAAAAAATAAATAAATCTAATATTTTCTGGGGGTGCTATGACTTTTCCAGGGGGAGCTATAGCACCCGCTAGGGTCCCCCTTGCCCCGCCACTGTTGCCTTGGGGATGTAACACTGCTATAGGATTTTTTTCTTTGACTTGAACGTCTCAGTTACAAGGAAACATTTATACCAAAAATACCTTCAAGGTCTCTGACCTGATGGATCCATGCAGGTCCAGGAAGAACTCAATTGATATCAATTCTCTGCTCATCATCTGCTCCACATCTCTATCAGCTGTCCGTCTGTCCGTCCGTCCAGCTCATCTTGTCCTCTGTTGTCTCTCAGCTCCACTGGTGAAGGTGGATTCAGGGGTGAAGTTTGTCCTGCTGCCCTGCAGAACCAGAGTCTACCTGCCTGGAGGAGCTAGAGTGGAGTGGAGGGACGGAGAGAACAGGACGGTCCATGTGTATCAGAAAGGTTCTGATGATCCTGAAGAACAGAACCTGACCAGCAGAACCAGAACCAGGATGAACAACGACCCACTGAAGACTGGAGACCTCAGTCTGACTCTGAAACATCCCAAACCTGGAGACAGCGGGATCTACAGCTGCAGAGTCAGGAAACGAGTCGTCCTGGTGATGAAACGGGTTCATCTCCAGGTCAAAGGTCAGTGGTTAAATGTTGGATTCTTCCAATCAGATGATTGGTGGTGATCAATAGTGATGTTTGACTGATTAGATCAGGAGTCCCCAAACTTTTTCCTGTGAGGGCCACATAACTTTTCCTTTCTCTGCTGGGGGGCCAGAGTCAGTTTGTAACAGAAAAAGTGTGACGATTGCAGGAGTGCCTAAATGTAAAAATGTATTGTTTTCCAGAAAGCACAATTAAATAACCCTGTCTGGGTTCTTCGCCGAACAAAAGTCAGGAAATAAATAATAACCAAATAACCCTCTGTGGGTTCTTCACAGAAAAAATCCAGGAAATAGCACTATTTATGAAATAAATACCGTATTTTCTGGACTATAAGCCTCAGATTTCTCTGCCGCTCCAGGTTTTCCACAGCGATGCAGCAGCAGCAGCAGAGGGGGGCGGACACCCAACTTTTGAGTCATAACAGGTCAATTGAATATCACATTTATTACGGTTGAAAAAGAAAAAGTTGCCAAGATTAGATTTAACTGAACAGTTTCCAAACGGTAACCGTAACAGCAAAAGTGCTGATCCTTCATGTCTGCTACTAGCATGAGCTAAAAGAAAATGGGCGCTTTCTTCATCTTCTTCTTCTTCTTCTTCTTCTTCTTCTTCTTTAGATTTCAACAGCAGCTTGCATCCATTTTTGCTGCACTACTGCCATCTACTGGATCCTAATATCTATACCTCAAATTCTCATAATGATCTCAGTATTATGTAAAAAACGAAAAATCTTCTTTTTCCCCTCAATGCTATTTAACTGATCAACAACATTCTCAAATTTCAATTCCCTATTAAAACCTAATTCCGTTTTAATGGGCGCTTTCTTCTTTTATTTCCAATTTTGACTTCCAATGATTCACTTTCTGCTAAGGAGCCCCCTGGTGGTTGAAGAAAAATCCACATAAAAGCCGCAACGGGCTATAAGCTGCAAGGTTCAACGCTTAGGAAAAAAGTAGTGGCTTATAGTCCGGAAAATACGGTATATGAAAAATAATTCTAAATGCTCTCTGGTATTGTTCAGGGGGCCGGACCAAATGTGGAAGCAGGCCGGATCCAGACCGCAGGCTGTAGTTTGGGGCCCCTGGATTAGATGGTCAAAGGTCAGTGTGATGTAATGAGTGAGGAAGATGAGGAAGCAGATGGGAGGAACAGGTTCAGGACAGACAGGGACCTGAAGAAGCAGGTGGAGGCTTTGACTAGGACAATGTCCCCTACAGGAGACACTAATTAGTGTTCAGCGACAAAAAAACAGAAAAATTTCTTAAGACCAATTTTTGGGGGATTGGCTAAGTTACAGTGAAATGTAACGTAAAATGTGGTTTAAAAAGTTTTTAAACCACATTCAAGCTGCAGAACCAAAAATGACTAGTAATGCACATCAAACATGTTTTTCTCAGTAAGCAACCTATTGAGAAATAAAACTAAAATTCAAATGTTGCTTAGATATGAGTTTTGTTCAGTTTCACTGCTACATCTTTACAAATCTTTAAGGTTCTAAATAAAAAAGCTTTAATGATTAAATGCTCTAAATAAAATTCCTCATAAACACTGATTTATTGAAATGGTTCCCAATACAAGTTATGGGCTATTTAAATCATAACTTAAAAAATGAAAGACTTCCTGCCAGATTTTTTCCTGTTTCAGATTTCAACTAAAGAAACTACAAAGTTGTAACCCAAGCACTGTAGAGGTGCATGATTACACTATTTTTAATATACACTTAACAAAAAAAAAAAAATCTTAATTGTGGCTGTGAGCATGTGGATGAAACTGATTAAAGTTGATAGGAGTTGACAGAAACACCTTGAGGTGAAATGAAACACAGTTTGAGTTCAACTTACACATGTTGCTGAACTAAAGGGCTGCACAGTGGCACAGTAAGTAACACTGTTGCCTTGCAGCAAAAAGGCTCTGGGTTCAATTCCCGGCCCAGGGTCTTTCTGCATGGAGTTTGCATGCTCTCCCTGTGGATGGTGGGTTTGTGGGTTCTCAGGAATGGTTGTTTGTCCTGTCTGTCTCTGTGTTGCCCTACGACAGACTGGTGACCTGTCCAGGGTGCCCCCGCCATTCTCGCCTGGAATGTTAGCTGGAGATAGGCACCATCACCTCCTGACCCCACTAAAGGATTGGGGCAGACAAGGGTGTAAGAAAATGATGATGGATGGGCTGAACCAGAGAATGTAGATTTGGCTCCATCATGTGGCCAGATATGATCACTGCACTATGGAGACTGGATGATTCTCCTTTGTTCTACAGATCATTATATAGGGAAAAAATTTAAGTTTTATTTGGTGTTATTCAAACAAAGAATCTCAGATGATTACAAAACTTTGAAGAACAACCAAGACTGAATGTCTTACATAAAGTATGGACATATTCAGAACAATTCAAAGAAAGCATCCTGAAAAATTTAGCTCATTTGAACGATTGGTGTTTATTTAAGTTTGAAGATCAGATGAAGCATTTTTCACATTTTTGTTAACAAATCCCCCCACTTCAACCAACCATGACCATATTAGATATGTAAGATCAGACCTACAGGATGAAAGTATGTCCAAAGTTTTGTGAAAATATGATCAGCAGTTTTTGCTAACAAGTTTTAGAATTTTACAGCGTCATCTAGTGTAGCACTTAAAAAAACAGCTCCACATCGTCAATATGGTGTTTGTAGTTGGTTGTATGAAGAAAATTGTGGAATTTTTTTATGGTTTCAAAATTATGGTAAATTTAATTTTTAACTATGTGTGTAGCAATATTTAATTAGCTATTATGTGGTAATTGGCACAAAAATCAAATTCCAGCGTAAGAACCTTTTTTGTTTTTTCCTTATATTATGCCTGGTTTTATTGGACTCAGTTGATCCTAGAGGGTGAGATTGGTTTTGGATAATGTCATGTTCATGGTTGTCTGAGTAGCGGTGTGGGTCCTGAACCCAAATACCAAATGAAAGTTGGAATAAGTTTCAGGGTGGAGACTGCAGTATGAGTTTCAGCAGAGAACAATAATTAAAAAAAATGGAAACACGAATGAAAAACAGGGTTCCCTGATCCACTGGGAGCAGGCAATCAGCCTTGTATAGGCTGTCTGCTTGATTCTGTGGGCTCAGAACCCTAAATTAATTCAGGGGAAGCAAAGTGCATTAGACATTTTCCAAGTTAGCAAAAATGCTAAACGAACAATTAGCTCTCCTATTAGAGCATTAGTGGATCAGCAGCAATGTATTATAGTCCCAATGTTTATGAATAAAATATTCATATTACGAGGAATCAATGCAAGGATTATCACAACATTCATCAACATCAGTGCATGTTTTCCTCCTACATCAGTCCCCGTTCTGAATCAGCTGCAGATGAAGGGAACCATCAGTCTGTTATCAACCAAATGAATAAATGAAAAGAAGTTTCACAAAACACCAGATAAACAAAGATAATGATGTAATGAATAAATGTGTAATATAATAATAATAATAATAATAATAATAATAATAATAATAATAATAATAATAATAATAATAATAATAATTCCAACACTAAAAAAGTATGAATGTCCCTCAAAATGTAAAAAGACGAAGAAGGGGCATATTCTAAAATGCAGTCCTGAAATAAAAAAGATATAAAATCACAACATATGTGTATTTAGCACATACCTATAAGACACATCAGTGTGGGTCTCAGCAAGTGGGAATGATGTACAGGAAGATCTGTACACAATCATAAAAAGACAGTTTGGAGGGAAAGTCTTAGACAAACTTAATTAAAAGCACCAACGTTTCACTCTAGCCAAACCCAAAGTCTTTTAAAACAATTTAGTAACATTTAACTTTACATTTTTATGCAAAACAAAAACAGTTAAAAGTATTTTAAAGTTATAAGCATTACTGAGAGAGTGATAGCATTAGCACACATCTTACCAGGATGTTCCACAAGTGATACAGCTGCAGCTGTATCACTTGTGGAACAAATAAAGGAGTTTCTGTAGTTTCACATCACACTGGTTGCATTGCATGGGAGGGTTACAGGGGGGCTGGGGAGGGCAGCTTCCCTCCGCTGGACGTGCCAGGGAGGGAGGAATGTATACGGTGGCCAACAGGTGCAAATGCGCAGCAACAGAGAAAACATGCAAAAAAAAAAAAAAAAAAAAAGCGCACAAATGAAATGCAGCAAAAAAAAAAAAAAACCCAAACCAGGGCCAAGC